GCTCATCTATTTTTTATCTGTTTCTGTTCTAGAGCCTCTAATCATGTCTTTCATTCTGCTCACTATTTCTGTAGTCATCTAGGAAATGATTTCTGTTTTGAATTTTTCTAGAGCCTCATTCATCTTGTTACTTCCTGTGCTATGAGTTCAGGGTGTCCAGGTGGGTGATCATCGGGCTTTTCTACCTCATTTCCCCCAGAATTTGCCTTTGTGGGGTGGAAGTCTGGGTTTGTGCCTTGCTTACATGTCTTCTCATTTTTGTTTTTGGTACTGTCCTTGGGTTTAATTCCTGGGTTGATACTTCAATATTGCTTATTGTAAGTATCTTTGTTGCTTGTATTTAGAACCCTTATGGAATCATTGCTTCTCAGAGGTGTCTTCCAGATATAGCTGGTCTTTAGGTTTTGAGTCTCTAATAACTCTGAGGCCATCTTATTTTCATTATACCAGGAAGGACAACTGATTAGATCAATCACAACACCTTACCTCAAGTGATACAATCAGCAACACCATAGCATCAAGTACCTCTTATAAAATGACAATTTGTGGTAGTTATTAATCTATCACCTTTAACTGTGTGAATTAAATCAAAATCGAAGACCAGCCCAACATATGTTTATAGTGAATAAACTCTTCAGTATAGCAACTTTACCCTTCCGGATGGGGAGTTAGAAGGAGTTGGGGAGGGAGGAATAGATAGGTAGAAGGATAGGGAAAGGTTAGCAGTGAGCCAGAGGACACAGGAAGATCACCCAAACTCTAGGAAACTGTTGAAGACAAGCAGAAAAGACAGAATGAAAGAACAAATATGAGAACAGAACAACCTAATATCAATAAGGAGGCTAGAAACTAATGACAATCGAAAGAAGGAAAAAGAGAAGAAAAGAAAAAGAAAGAAGAAATCCAAATTAGGGCCAGAAAGAACAGGAACAAAAAGGAAGATGAAGAACAATGTTGGACAGTGAGAGAACAAGAGAGTGAGAGAGAGAAAGAAAAGAGAAAAAAAGAAGAAAAAGAAAAGAAAACTTTGAAAAGAGTAGAAAAAAATAAAAATTAAAAATAAGAGAGAAAAAAATAATTTTGAAAATAACAAAAAATAAAAAAGAATGGCCTCCAGGCCATTCACTATAGACAATGTGGGCAGCAGTGTGGAGATGTAAGTCAATGAGTCTTAGCAGGCCAATAGCAGACCCATGAGATTCAGGCCGATTTCTGGCTCCAAGTTGAGCTCCCTGTCTTCCTGCAGGTTTCAGCTGCCCTTCCCCTGCAGATAGTCCAGGTTCCAATGGGAGTGATGATCCCTCCAACTTACCAAGTACGGTGGTCTGGTGTCCTTTTACTGCAGAGATTGTCTTCACTTTTCCAGTGCACTTCAGTTTTCATCAAGGAGCCTGAGAGAGGCCCTCTCTGTTGTTCACTTCTGCTCTATCTTCTGGAGCTCAGGACAATGGCCTTTATGACCCCTGTGCCTCTGTAGTGTGGAACCAGGTACCAGCGAAGCCAGGAGGCCTGAGGCAAGGGGTGGGGGCTGCAGCGCGTGGCTAACCTGGTCGCTGGAAGGTGGGGCGTGGGCAGGACGGAGCCCCGCTCCACGTGGCTGAGCTCCTCACTTTCTGCTCGCTGGTCGCTGGAAGGCGGGGCCTATTTCATTTAATTTTTAAAATGATCTGTGAGGTGGATATTTTCAGTCTCAAGGTAAAAGAACTAAGATATATAGAAGTCTCTTACTATTTTCCCACAGTAAGGTGGTACCTCAGTTTACAAACTTGTTTTAAAATTTTGGGAAAGATCCCCATTGTCGTATTTGTCACCCAATGCAAGGTTTGGAAACAGAGCAAAATTTTACGAAACAATTTTATTTGCAAACAGAAGCATCTGTTAACTGAGATATTACTGTATATGTATTAGCTTTTCATTACAGTAACAAATATGTGACACTGGCTACTTTATAAAGAAAAAAGATTTATTTAGCTTTCAGTTTGGGCGGCTGAAGTCCAAACAGCATGGCACAGGTTCTAGCTGCATCACATCACAATGGGAGCACTTGTGTATCTCTTGTGTCTGGTCTTGCTTTCCTTATAAAGTTACTAGGATTCAATTATGGAAGCCCCACCCCACAGATCTAATCTGGTCACTTCCCAAAGGCCCCACCTCTAGACACGATAGTCTCCTTAAGGTACCCCCTCTTAATCCATGAACATAAAACTTTGAAGATTAAACTCCATGAATTTAGGGGAACAAACCTTAGCATTTCGCTCCTAGGCCTTACTCCTGAAACTCATGTCCTTCTCACATACAACATGAAGTCATTCCATCCAAATAACCCGAAAGCCTTAACCCATTCCTAACATTAACTCAAAATCTCAATGGCTTATCTGACACTCAAGGCAACCTTCTTGCAGCTCTGAGTATATAAAATCAAAACGAGGTACATATTTCCAAGATACAATGGTGGGACTGGCATAGGGTAAACATTCCCATTCCAAAAGAGAGGAATAGGCAGATGGAAAGGAGTAATCAGCCCAAAGCAAGACCAAAACCTAGCAGGGTAAACATTAAATCCCAAAGTTCCAGGCCTGGCATCCTGCCTCCACTGATGCTGAGCTGAGTCCCCCAAGGCTTTGGGCAGCCTCACTCCTATGAGGCTTTCCTAGACTAGCTTATGCTTCATTTCTCACCCTTTTGAGTGTAGCTCTTCTGGATTGATTTTTGCACACTGGTAGCTCTACAGTTGTGGGATCTCAATGGCAGTCCTTCCCCTGCAGCTCCACTGGGCATTGCCCTGGTAGGGACCTTCTGCAACAGTCTGACCCTACAATTCTGGTGGGCATTGCTCTTGTGGAGGCTCTCTGCAGTGGCTCCTTCCAGTCCATAGATCTTTGCCTGGACCTCCGGGTTGATGGAGAAATCCCTGCTTCTATGGCTCTGTTGGTCTCTACCCATATGGCTGCTCTCAAAGGCTGAAAGGTGACATTTGCAGCTTCCCGAGGCTTGTGTATCACACTGCTTGCAGCTTTCTTTGGAGGGTGTTTCATAATTTCTGGGGTCTCCCTGTGGCTTCACTTCCACAACTCTAGTATGATGGTATGCATCATACCATCAAGCACATTCTGCAGGGCCTTAGATCCCAAGACAGATTTTTGCCTGGTCTCCCAGGCTTTCCTTTGAAATCTTGGTGGAAGCTGCCAGGACCTTGTAACTCTCATATTCTGCACACCTGAAAAAGCAGCATCATGCAGACAGTGCCAGGGTCTGACACTTGCAGGAGCTAAGTCTGAGCCCCTTTAAACCAAGGCTGCAGTAGCCCAGTGTTTTACCAGCAAGCCAGAATGCCCAGTGGGACCTGGGGCTATTTTTTTTCAACAGTTCTGCCCTGGCAGATCTCTGAGATGCCTCGAGACATCTTTCCTATTGTCCTGAGAAGCACACAGCTTCTTTTTATCTGCTCTAAACTCTTCAGCAAGCAGCTGCTCTGTTGAATCCTTGGTCTCACCTGTCTATGATCTCAGGTATCCACTAGGGTTCTTAGAACATATTCCTGTGGATGGGGAGACAGTTGTACTGCAGTATTGGCATTGAACCCAGATCTACCCTACCCTTGGACCTGTTCTCTGGTGCACTCTACGTCTGCATTTTTGTCCTTTCTAGTTAAACAAAACATTTTAAATGAAGCCTTCATCTTTTTTACAAGGAGGTCATTCTAGCTTTTCATAAGTAAAGTTACTTAATGCATATCCCCTCCATCCTTTACACAAACCTCATAGTACAATATCATCCGTCTTGTTTTAATTTACCAAGATAGTAAGCTTGTACTTAAACAGACCCACCTGATCAAATTTCTTTCACTTTGGGATGTAAAACCCAGCCTGCACCTAAATACAGTATGTTTTTGTTGTTTTGAAACAGCTGCTGAATATGTCCAGGGAACTGAGTGACCTGAAGAGAAACCTGAAGGAGGCCACTGCAGCCATTGCCACGGACCCTCTTTATATAGAGGGTGCATGGTCCAAGCCCACCTTCACATCCACCGAGGCAGCCATCCAGTCCATGCTGGAGTGCCTGAAGAATAACGAGCTTGGAAAAGCCTTGCGGCAAATCAGAGAATGCAGGTCACTCTCCTGTTTCTTTTAGAGATGGTTACAGGAAATACACACCTAACTGTGACTTTGTCATGGTTCAGGATGAACTCGCTACAGAAGTAATGTCTAGATATTTTTCATATCTCTTCTCAGATCTTTACTTGCAATGCCAGAAATACTTGGCTTTCAGACCTTACACATTGAAAGTACTGGGATTGTTTCTGGTCATTTGTCATCTCTAAAATGTTCAAGCACTTGAAAAATAACCTCTATATCATTTAAAACTAATATCCAAATCCACACTTTTTGGGTCTCCCCTACATCCTCACATTGTCTTCACATTGACTGGAACCAGAATGTTATTACAAATGAGATAGATATTTTAAGAGTATCACATTCTATTCTGATATTTTTATAGTTATGATACTTTTATCAAAAACAATATTCACTAGTCTAAAACTGAACATAGTGGTAGTTGCACAGCTTTGAATATACAGAAACCCGTGGGATTGCATACTTTAGATAGGTGAAGTATACGGTATGACAGTATCTCAGTAAAGCTTTTTTAGAGTAATAGTCTTATGCCAACAAAGTCTCATAGCCTCCCAACTTTGTGACCAGCAGTGCCTCTAATCTGTGCTATCTTTCTTGACTGCAGAAGTCTGTGGCCCAATGACATCTTTGGAAGCAGTTCTGATGATGAGGTCCAGACACTACTGAATATTTATTTCCGTCACCAAACGCTGGGACAGACAGGTACTTACGCACTGGTGGGATCTAACCAGAGTCTGACCGAAATCTGCACCAAGTTGATGGAGCTAAACATGGAAATCCGGGACATGATCCGCAGGGCGCAGAGTTACCGAGTCCTCACCGCTTTCCTCCCAGACTCTAGTGTTTCTGGCACTAGTCTCTGACAAGAGCCTCCCATCCCCCCTGGTTTCCAAGCTGGGGGTGCTGCCATGCTGGGGCAGTGTCATTCAGTGTCTTCTCAGCCTTCAGAAGGCTTGGACAGACTGTTCTCCCTCTTGTTACCTGCAGGACTTTTTCTAAAGAGGATGACAGAACTTGCAACGTATAGCAATACTTTAAGAACCAAGGTAGCAAAGGACATCCTAAGACAGACTCCACCCATCCTGCTGTGTGGCACAAAGGTGTTAGCCCTTTCCTGAGCAAATGCAACTCACTACTGAAGAAGTGACTTCCATTGCATACCAAAGCCGACGACACTGAACAACACCTTCCTTTCAAGAAACAGTTTTAGATTAGCAAAAGTGCAATGTTTTCTTTACTTCAGAAAATTTTATATTGTACAACTTGTACATTTGTTCCCTTTCTTTTTCCTTTTTCCCTCTTTGTTCTGTTTTGTTTTGTTTTTGGTGAGATGAGAAAGGGGCAGGCAGAATGAAGCTGGCCACTGAAAAACTGTAAGACAGTTAAAAGCAGACAGCCTGTGTGTTGGAAATGGGAATCATAAATGGACTACAATTTAACGCACACTGTTATCTGAATACGATTACTGTACGTCAAAAGAGCTGCTATGAGGTACCTTTCTTATGTTGCTAGGCTACTGTTTCTGAAGGCCCTGGATCTCTTTGCCCCAAAATTGATCCAGATAGACTCTCTTTAAGGATCTTGGCTGCTTTTTACTAGAAGGTTGCTTTTATTAATATATTTATACTACAGAAGGATAAGTGTTAATTTTAATTAACTTTGCCATTTTATAGAGAAAAGTTATTCACATGAATTCCAAGTCTTTTCACCTCTCAAGCATGCATAACATCCATTTGGATAGGCAGAATAGAATCATAAAGAGATGAGTTGTCACTTTGTTTCTTAAGAATAATGTTGTATTTTATTTGTAATATATATGTAAAGGGTCATTCTTAAGTTTCCTCCTTAAACTTTATGCTGTCAAAGTGTTAGATGTGTGCATGTGAATCTGTTACACATCAGAAACATATTCAAAGTTTATGTAACTTATTCATGCTGTAAATACATTTAAAGTTTTGTGATGTAATCTTGATTGATACTCTGTTCAGAACTTTCTTTAGACAAAAAAAATGCAAAGACAAAATACATGATGACCATGGATTTTATTTTTGGTTCATGAAAATGTTTGACACACACTTATAGTTTCCCATGTGGGCCGCAGTAGTGACAACCCCAAGGGACACCATTCATTCACATGTAGTCAACAAGTGGCAACTAGTGGGTTTGTAAGATATATGGCCACTGAAGTCAGAGGTAAATAGAGTCACTTTGGAAGCAATACTTTTTAAAAAACTGACCTTCCACAAGTTCTCTCCAAAATCATTCAAAGAGAAAAATCAGAAAAGAAAGAGTGCTTTAACTGTCCAAAACCTATCTTAAGTTATTAGGTTACCATTGTTACATTTTTGAAATACACTGTATATTAAGCAGGAAAAAATAGGAAAACTTTCATTCTATCACTAACTACCCTACTAGAAAAAAAAGGAGCACAGAGACACATAGCAGCCTAACATATCATCTTCCTGCAGATATTTTACTTGGATTAACAAATATAATTTGCTTTACTGGTATACAAGTACTGAGTCATTAGTTGTTATTCTCTAGGAGTATCCTGCAGAAGGGAGGCTGTTTGATAAGTTAACTTTTTCAGCTAAAAGATGATTTGCTGTAGTTTGTAGAAAACTGAATCATGATCACTGTGAAACATACCTCATACAATACAGGATCCTGTGGGTAACCAAATTAGCTACCCCTCAGAGAGTTTTATTGGCAGTCACAGTAGAGAAGTCTGACGAGTCATGACTGGGTTTTCCAGTATGCCCTCTTATCCATCAAACAGCCTTAGTGACGCTTTACTCTTGTTTTTGGGGGGGGGGGTTGTTTTGGTACCGGGGATCAAACTCTGGTCCTTGCACTTGCAAGGCAGGTGGCAGAACCACTGAGTGAGGCCAGGGATTTAGCTCAGTGGTGCCACCACCTGCCTTGCAAGTGCAAGGTCCCGAGTTCAATCCCCAGTACAAAAAAAAAAAAAGATAAAGGATGTTAATAGTATATTGTACTCTGCCATATTGGACTGTAATCATAGGAAGTAGCAGAGTTTGTCTTTCTTATAATTTTATTTTAAAAAATAATTTTGGTAATGCAGTTTTTTTCTACATTTCCTGTATTTTTTCATCTTCTTTACATTGAGTAGAGTGGGAAATTTTGTGTTGGAGAGGAGCAACAACTGCAGCTGAGCCCAGCAGTAATTGTAGAGTCATCATCAAACCTCCTTGGCTATTATAGTGCTGTGCCTCTGTTCAAATATTTTCACTGCCTTCCCCAAGGCTACAGAGAAGTTGGGCTACTGATGAAAAGTAGATGTCTGACTGCCTTCCCCAAGGCTACAGAGAAGTTGGGCTACTGTTGAAAAGTAGATGTCTGACAGATACATTGATAACAAAGAGAGATGCTTTCTCTTATCTCAGTGCTTTCTAGAGCCAGAACAAGATATACTTTATATCTATTTGCATAAGAAAGCAATCAAGTTAGGCCTTCTGTAATTTAGACAAAATTTGATTAAAATTACAGTCTCCAAATAGGGTGTTTTGGAAAAAGGACTATGGGTTTTTAGAGGCATATGGATGTCTTACTTCCACCCATAGGTGAGAACATTAAGAAAATATGTTAGAACAGCTGTGAAATAAAGATGCTTGTAACATTACACACATTGACACAGAGTCAAGATTTAAGCTCCTGGCTTTTAACAAACTGACCTTTTCAGTGAATTACAGAATTCTAGAGAGAAGAACCATGCCTCCAGGCTGCTTACATATCCATAGCTTCTACCTGCTTCTAAATATCTGCCTGAACAACATAAATTTAGTATCCCCAGGTGAATTTTATGATGTTAATTATATCTCAAAGCTGGTTTTTAAGGTTTTCAATACATTTACATTGGATGGATGAATATTTGAATACGTATCATAAGCTTAGATATTTCCTTCACTCAGCAAATATTAAATGCCCACTCGGGGTAGGCACAGTCCTAGGGGAGACCACAGTTACCCAGACAGATGTGGTCCTTTCTTTCATGGAGTTCATACTTTTTAGTGCTTGGCTATCTATGTGATGTGGTGGTAGGTGCCATGAAAAACAGCAAAATGCGGACAGAATAACAAAGGTGTTACTCTGGTTAACAAAGGTGCTGTTTTAGGAAGAGTGGCATAGAAAGCCTTTCTCGGAAGGTGATAACCTGAATAGAGCTCTGAATAAAGTGAAGCTATAACATGGATAGCTGGAAGAAAGAGCACATGGGGAAAAATTAAGGCAAAGATCCTGAAACAGGAGCAGGATCCTCTTGCTAAAAGGACAGCAAGGAAACCAGCACTCAGAAAAATGAGTGAAGAAGAATGTGTTAAAAGAAGCAGCAGAAAGGACTCTGTGGGCCTCAGGAAAGACACAATCCCTTCTTGGGTGAGTTGGGAAGCTGCTGAATATTTGGGGGCAAAAAGTGACATGTTTTGACTTATATTTTTAAAAGAATCACTGCATTTAGGATGATGAAAAATTTCTGGAGTCAGTAGTGGTTATACAACCTGGTGAATATACTTTTGCCACTAAATTATATATGTGAAACGATAATTACATATATAGGAAGTACACATTTGGGAGGTGGAAATTAAGATTTCTTGTTCATACATGTTGGCTTTGAGGTACCCATCAGATGTCCAAGACAAGATGGTGCGAAAACAGGTGTATTTGTGAGTCTGTTGAGAGAAGTCAGGGCCAAAGATAGGAGGATGCTATTTTAAGCCCTTGAGGAAAAACGAGTACACTTCTCTGTATGGGCCAGTTGGATAGGGATCTTGGATGGAGATCTTGTAAGAATTGTGAGAATCATGCCACCTGCTTCGCAAGCTCAAGGTCCTGAGTTTGATCTCCAGTAGCCAAAAAAGGTAGCAACAACAAAAAAAAGAATTGTAAGAGTCAGAATGTAGGCAATGAGTTCAAATCTTGAACTGCACATCAGATGACCATGTGGGGACTCAGACTACCAAGACCCAGGCTGCACTCCAGAGATGGACATCACTAGTTACAAGCAGTGCTCATGATCCAGTGATGCTTAAACCTCCCCAGCTGATTCTAACCCACTGCCAAGACTGAAACACTGTTTTGTGGCTCTCAAACTTAATCACCCCCAAGGCTCTTGTCAGATACAGAAAATCTCTCAGATTAGGCCATTGATAGACCCATTTGGTAAATCCAGAGCAAGGTCCCCCCAATTGGCACTTTAGGAAAACACCCTACATTGCAAGACATCGAAGTACGAGGAACTTATTATACAGCAAAATGCTCTTTCTTCTGCACCACACCCCTAGTCATTTTTCCACTAAGGGTGTTTGTGTAGTGATTTTTTTGTGATTTTTTTGTTTGTTTCCTGTTTGCGGTCACAGGAAGTGAGTGGCTAGAATTCACTGCAGTCCATGTACAGATCCCTTTCCTGACAGATGTTTCCTTCTCTGTCACCACCTCCTCTTGCACAGATCCTGCTTGGAACAGCAAACTCGTGCTGTGATTTTGGATGCCAACTTCAGATTCCAAGAATTTAAACCACCTGTGGGAACTTGCAGGGGTTCCAGAGCTAAGACAAAGAGAAAATTCCCCCTCATTCTCCTCCAGTGTTCAACTCCACCCTTCTTACAGTTATTTCAAAAAATCCAGAGACAGATTCACGCCACCCAGCTGTACTAGTCATCCTCTCCTTTCAGCCCCATCACTGTTGTCCACAGCAGTGTTTGTGATCCTCATCTGCCTTAAAATCATCAGGGAAGCTTATTAAACATTCTGAAGCACAGGCCCCACCCCAAATCCCTTAAATCAAACCCACAGGTAGAGCCTTCCTGTGGATAATTTATAACACTTCCCAGATCATTTCAATATGCAGCTGCAGTTGAAACCTGGCTTAAATCCCACCTGCTCACTCCCCCTCCTTACTCAGTATCTTCTCCATCTCTTCTCAACATTTGACATCTTCCAGGGACTTGAGCGTCCTTGCAGATAAACCACATAAAATCTTCCTCTCAGTCTGCTAACATGTTTACCTGCAGGGATCCTTGCAGTGCTGCACTTTAGCCATCCAATTCTATGGCTACACCAATGCCTCATTCTCAACAGTGGAATGTACCAGCTCTAGAGTCTACCTTTCTGGCCTCCTGCTCAGGAATTCAGCCCCAACCCTAACAATTCTCCTGCTATCAAGAGTAACAATCTGTGGGCCTCACCTGTCTTCTCTTCTGAACAAGTTAAAATTCCATGAGCTATTAGAATCACTCTTTTGCTGATATTTTCAAGGGATGCTTACCTTTTGTCTTCAAAGTAAATAAGGTTAATCTGTTCTGATCCCTATGAATGTGGTCGGGAACTGAATCAAATTTTCCCAAAAAGCTTAATGTAAATAAGGTTAATCCTTCTGAACCATGTATAGTTTTTAACCTCAAAAATATGAAACAAAGTACGTACAAAGAGAGAATACTAACATTGCTTAAGTCATTATTATTCTGCACGTTTCTATCACCTTCATTACTGTCCTGCACTTTCTATCGCTATGTTCATTCTGCACTTTCTCTGGAGCCATGCTGGTTTGAATAATACTGTATGTGCTACAAAAACACACAGTAAACTTCACAGCAAGTGTACACAGGTCTGTCTGTTACTATGACTAGAAAAAGCCATGATCATGTGTCAGAGCAGGGAAGATGACTGAGGTTGTTTTCGTCTCTGATTCAGAGTTCGAGAATGGAAGCAAATTTTTGTCAAATGCTTCTGTTTGCAAACCAAACTGGTCACAAACAGAAGCATTCATGAACCGAGGCATTACTGTGCATTAAGAAATCTTAATTCAGACACACTTTCTGCCTGGCTGAGTAGAGGAAAAGCCACATGGGAGAGGCCCAGAGAACATCAACTAGAAACCCAGGTAAGCTAAGCAGCGCAATGCTACATACCATGATACAAAGAATCAATTTGACTTTGTTTCCAGTTTTTCATTTTCTCATAATAATTCCATTCACAAAGTCTTTGTAAATAGAGAGGGGTGGAGAGGTTGAAGGGAGGGCAGGGGAAT